TTTGTAAAATAGAAATAATACAGTATTTACCTTATGAGAACACTGGATATGACCATGCATAGGAGATAATGCACTTGGCACAGTGATAATAGCTTAGAAAGATCTCAATAAGCAGTAGCCATTATCATTTTACTATAATTATTGTTAAATACACAAGGCTTTTGAAACAAATTTTTTCTCTTAACATTAGTAACTTTAGACCTTTGTATGAGCTTTAATAAGGGACCACATCCTGGGCCCAGTCAATGAATGCAAATTATGCTGCAGTGAAATAAGAAAATATTCAGCATTAGAAATGTTGTATAAAAATATTTAAAAGAAATATTAAAATTGCTCCTTTCCCCAGTAACTCTTGTTGAATCAGTCTTGTGTGTTTTTTCAGTAAGCACTTCCATCTCAAATTAAACAAGTTCTGGTGTTCTTCCTAATGCCTAGAAGTTTTGAGGTATGACAATGTTTATAGTCTACTATTCTACTGTTCCAGGAAGCTTGGATGATGATGTAATTTAAATTCCAAAGTAAGAGAACATTGTGAAAAACATCTGTGTTTCAAATAACATGCATTGCTATTCAGCGAGAGAGGGGATGGGGAAACTTTCCGTGCTTCTTTAGAGTGGTCCTTCTGAAATCATCATTTTCTGTAAATTTATGCCTCACACTTAGGAGGGTGAAATGTATCAGTCAAGGTTTAGCAGAAGAAAATAGAAGTGCTCTAGGTACTATAAGCAGAAAGGGATTCAATGCTGTAAATTATATGCTTACAAAATCATCAGCAGGGTGGGAGGAACAGACCCTCGAAGAGCTGCTATCTCACCATCGTCAAAAAAGAAGGAACTCAAGAAGCTGTTGCAGATCTGTCCTTCAGGCACCTCTTCCCTGCAACTCAGGGCTCAGAAAGCCTCAGCTGCACACTCAGAACCACCTCTCAGGTCCTAGGCCTGTACCAGAAAAAAACCAACTGTCTTTCCATGCCTCTGAGCTCCCTGAAAGATGCGCTACACACAGTCCACTTCTACACAAGTTTGCAGAAAGATGCCCTGCACTAACTTCCCTCTTTAAGCAGGTTGGGAGTGAGTGCATGCAATTAAAGGAACCACAGTCATATCCAGAGTTGTAATGACTCCGTAAGTCTGGAAAAGGTGATTTCTTGCCTGTGAAGGAGGTGAAGAAGGTAAAGGTGTGCATGAGAGGGAGCTGGAAATGGATGCAGAGCACCAGCCTGTCACAGCCTTGCTCGATGTGGGACAGCACTGGGACTAGGCTAAATGCGACCCCTGAATCTGCCACCCGCTAGTAGCTGCATGATAGTGGTAAAGCTCCTTTTTCTTTCATGGAAAACAAGGAGTTTGGACCATACCTTTTCTAGGACTTTGCCAGTTCTTGAAACAAAAATATGTTCCTACAGAAAGTGACGAAAGGCCTCTCCTGATCCGATCCTCCTGGCTTTTTCCTCCCATGAGTGTCACTACTTTGTCTTTGAGTTCATTGTCCTTTCTTGGAAGGCTTGTCTACCTATGTGGCAGCTGGACTGCAGCGGTTTTCTATCTACAGGATCTCCTTTCCTGCTGCCTCCAACCCACTCCACCTTGGCAATTTTTTTTTTGGTACCGGGAATCGAACTCGGGTCCTTGCACCTTGGCAATTTAGGATACATAGGAGCTACATACATTTAGAAGTAGGAATAGGAGGCCGGGGATTTAGCTCAGTGGTTCTGGTGACTGCCTCACAAGCGCAAGGTCCTGAGTTCAATCCCTGGTACCAAAAAAAAAAAAGAAGTAGGAATAGGGCACAAAAAGATGGCAGATCTCAAGTTCTCTGATCCCACATCTAAATCTCTCCAAGACCAGTGGGAAACATCAACTTTCAGTCAATATTCAATGTGCTACTTTTGTGAACATGATTGAGCCCAGAACCCTTGCTCCTGGCTTGTAGGTGGTGCCTGGGGTGTATATCCACCCTAAGAAAATCTATCTTCTTAAGACATTCTTAGAGCAGCACTTCTCAAACATCAGTGTGCACACAGATCCCTTGGAATCTTGTTAAAATATGGGTCCTGCACCAATGGGTCTGAGCTGCTGCATGTCCAGCAATCTCAGGTGCTTCTGCTGCTGTCTCTTGGATCACCCTTTCGGTAGCAAGGTTGAGGCTTGCATGCACCACGCTCCTGCTCCAGCCTCACCCTGAGCTGAGTGAATTAAATGCACATGGCTGAGGTAAAATGTCTTAAGTTGAAAGCGCTGACTTAGACAAGGGACAGGCATTTGTTTATTTTTGCTTTCTCTTTGATACTCAGAGACACACTCTAAGGGGTCTGGCCTATATGTTTTGCTCCTACCATATGAACTCTATTTCTTCACCCACTCCTGAAACCCGCTGAGTTTGCACTTAAATGTTGTCATCTACAAAGAGGAACAGAAATATCTATAAAGATGTTGAGAGCACAGAGTGAGGTACTGCCTTCCTAGAAGCTTTGCAATGTCACTTGTTTCCTTGCCCTTGAATTCTACCACGGCTCCCTCAACCCTGGTTTACCTTGATGCCCTCTCCCTGCAGCTAATTTTTAAAAATTCATTAAGTTTATTGGTACGTTTTAGGTATACAATGTGATAACCTTCATTATTGGGAATTTGTACCATTACATGATATATCTTGCTTCTTATTTTTTCCCCTGCAGCTAATTTTTATGCTAAAGTGATACTCACTGTTTAATACAACCGCTTGCCATAATAAATAATGAGCAAATAAAGAGAAATACGTGACAAAAAAGAAGAAACAGAAAATAATCCAAAAGTGGCAATCAACTAAAAACAGAGATGTTCATGGGAGCTTGATATATAGTTACAAAGAAATTGGAAGTATCTTAAAGGCCTAAGTAAAGCACAGTATATTTATACACAGAATATCATGTAGCCATTAAAAGCAGCCATTAAATGCTTTGTTTAGATTTTTAGTGGTAAATGAAATATTTATGACATGATGTTTAAAGTAAAAAAAATCAGCCTACAGGTTGGTATACACCAAGTTAAAATATACAGAAAAAACCCAACATACAATATAGGAAGGAGTCATGACAAATGAGAGAGTGGCTGCCTTGTCTGTGTCTTCATTCTTTCTGTATTTCTCAAATCCCCCATAATAATATGAGCAGAGCTCATGGGGCCAGACTTGCTGTGGAAGTCTGACCTATTGTTATTCTCATCATCATTACTCATATCATAAAAAGAAAATAGAGTAAAAGCTGAGAAAAAGATCAAGGATTAGAGAAAAACATTTATATACTAATAAAAAAATACCTGACATGATTTAGTGTGTAGAAAATCTTAAGGCCTATAACAGATCAAAAATCCCTGTTAGAACTTAAGAACAAATAGAGCAAGTTTTCAGAGAAAAAAGGATATGTTTGTTTGAAATAAACTATATTTTGAACTAATTTCAGATTTACAGAGCAGTTGTGAAGTAGTTCGGAGAAGCTCATCCACACACCCCTCCCTTGCTTTCCCCTATTGCCTTACATCGCCGTAGTACTAGTGTCAAAACTATGAGACAGGGGCTGGCATTTAGCTCAGTGGTTTCTCCGGCTTCTGCACAAGCGCAAGGACCCGAGTTCATCCCCAGTACAAAACAAAACAAAGCAACAACAACAAAACTATGAGATTAACATTGGTACATTGCTGTTAATCCCAGACTTGATTTGAAATTCGTCTTTTTTTCACTTACATACTTTTTCTTTTCCAGGAGAATAATTTTAGAGTGCTGAGCAATTTTCTGTGGGTTTTTTTTTTCTTTAACATTTCAACTGTGAAACATACATAGAAGTTCACAAAACCCAAAGGTACTGTTTAAAGGAAAATATCGAGTTTGAGAAAGAATATCGCTGTTCTTTGGTATCCTTTTTCCTGTGAGCTAATCATGATCCTGGCTTTTATGGTAACCAGGTCCTTGCTTTTCTTTGTAGTATTACCACCCAGCTATTAATCCCCCAATAAGTAAGTGACTTTGCCTGCTTTTGAAATTTGTACACATGAACTCATACAGATGGACTCTTTTATTCTACATTTTTGTGTTGTGTTGTTATGTTTTGTGTGTTGTCTGTGGCTCATTCATTTTCACTGCTGTATGGTATGTGACTAATACGTTTTCTGATATTACCTCCTTCTCCCTGCCTTCCCCAATCTTACATACTTTTCACCTCCGTGCTTTAGAGACAACAGAAAATCTGACTAAAATCACTATAATTCCAAAAATGAGATCCATGATGATTTAAAGCTGAAACAAGAGATCTATAGAACAGGATTTCCTGACCTACACTCCCATGACATGTGGGACCAAATATTTTTTGTTGAAGGTGCTGTCCTGTGACCTGTAGGGGGTTGAACAGCACCCTTAGGCTCTGCTCACTACATAATCAATAGCATCCTCAACCCCTATTTGTAACAACCAAAAATGTTTCCAGATATTCCCTGAAAGAGGGATGTGAGAAACAATGATTTAGAAGAATAAGTACAAAACCAATTAGAATGGCTCAATCACATAAAAATGCCCTAGATGAGAAACTAAGAAAGTTCTAGAGGAGGATAGAGCATAAGATGCCAGAACGAACATTTAAAAAGGGCTCCTGTCTTAGTCAACTTTCCATTACTATAAGAAAACACCTGAGACAATTAGCTTCTAAAAAGGAAAGTTTTCTTTTGACTTATAGAGGCTTCAGTTCCTGATCAGTTGGTCCTGTTGCTTTTGAGCCTATGGTGCAGCAGTACACGTGGTATAAGTGTGTGGCAGAGCAAGCTGCTCAGCTCATGGCCAAGACAAAGGAAAAAGAAGAGACCAAGGGTCCCACAATCCCCTTCAAGTTATGCCTCCAATGACCTGAAACTAGGTCCCTCTAGGCCAATGATGGCAAACATTTTAGAGATGAGTGCTGAAACTGCAACCCAAACTCACTTATTTATCGTAGAGTGCCAACACTGCAAATTAAACCTGAATACTGAGGTTTTAGTTTAGAAAAAACAGCTCATATATTATCATCATTTGTCTTAAAAGAAAAACAAATATTACGTCTGTCATAGGTTTCCCCACCACTGCACTAGGCTACACAACCTAAAGGCTCCACCACCTCCCAGTGGCACCAGGAGCTGGGGACCAATCCTTTAACACACAGCTTCTGGAGGGCATCCCAGAACCAAATGATTGCAGCTCCATAACCTGCCCTCAACCCAGGTCAAACTCTGAGGTTCAGGGTCAAATGACAAAAGCTTTGTGTTGGCCCAGCATCCCTCTCACAACTAGAGAAAATGAAGAGCTACTGCAGGTAAGTCAAGCATCCAGGGGGGCTGTGGGAGCATGACACAGAGAACAGGAGGCTGGGGAGGCCTAGCAGCAGAGTCAGAGAGACACAACAAGGACCTGCAAAGACCACTGGCTGCAGGTTAGATGAAAATAAGAATGAGGATGGCCCCAGGGACCAGACACTACCCTCTCTGCTGATGACTTCATTTTGTGTAAGAGCCTGAAAATTAGACACAAGCCTGGGAAATGCAAGGCAGAGCCCCAGTTGGCTAATAATTACAAAGCCAGAGCTTGGCAGGATGGGAGCCTAAGATTAAAAAATAAAGTAACACCAGGATGATTAGTCAAGAAGAAAAAATATCCAGATTAATAAGGAAGAAATAAAAATGTATTTGCAGACGACATGATTTTTTACAAAATTGTATAGTTTCTATACATGAATTAAAAGAAAAAATGCTTCATTTACATTTTCTGAACTTAAACAGTATGTGAATAGTTTACTACTTAAATTACATATGTGACAATAAATAATCAAACACATTCCAACCCCCAGAGTTGTTTTCATTGCTAAAACATGTGTGCCAAGATTCACACCAGAGTCAAAATCCTGTAACTTTTAAACATTAGATCCATGACATTAGTGTCAGAGGGAAATATTCTGATTTAACCAAATATTCTTTGATAATTTAATGTTTGACAATCTCACAGAAAATCCATTTTCCTGGGAAATATTAGACCTGCCAGTGCTAAAACTCACTGAGAAAATTTTATCAAAATATGAATAAAGAGCAAAACAAAAGAGAAAAGATAAGAAATAGGGAGGTCGACTTTGTGGAGAACAGAAGGGAATCTGCCAAAGGAGGGAGGAGGAGGAGGGGTAAAAATGATCAAAATGTCATTTGTATATGTACCATTCTCCAAGATGAATGTAATTATTATGTATTGCAAATACATACTAATAAAAAATACCTGACATGATTTAGTGTGTAGAAAATCTTAAGGACTATAACAGATCAAAAATCCCTGTTAGAACTTAAGAACAAATAGAGCAAGTTTTCAGAGCACAGGATCAACATACAAAAACCAATTATATTTATAAATTTAGCAATGAGAAATCTAAAAATGATTCTGATTCCGTGTATATAGTGTTCAGAATAGGCAAATCCATAAAGATAGAAAGTTGATTAATATCTTCCAGGGCTTGAGGGCAGAAATGGAGTGATTGCTTATGGCTTTGGAGTTAGACAGTGGCGATGGTTGCATAACCTTATGAATATACTAAAGACCACTGCCTATACACTTTAAAGGACGAATTTTATCCTATTAAAATAATATTTCAATTATTATTTTCTATTGAGAAAAGCATTAACAGTAACATTTCTCAAAGTTAGGGCAGTACATAAGCCACAAAGACAAAATATACATAAATAAAAATATTTCATTTCTTCCAAACTTGGATTTGTACTCCAGGCTGGCTAAACCTATATTCCCTATCTGTCTATTCTACTGATTTTTTTTTAGTACTAAGGATTGAATATAAGGCCTTCACACTGAACTATATTCCCAACCCCCTTTTTAATCTTGAGGCAGGAGCATACCAAGTCATTAAGTTACCTATGTTGAGCTGGAATTTGTGATCCTCCTGCCTCAGCCTTCCAGAGTGCAGTGATTACAAGCGTATGCCACCACATCTGGCTTCATCTCCTATTTTTATTTTAAAATTTGCTTTCTCCATGTTCTTATCAGCACTGCCCAACCTCGCAGTTCATGTGTCAACCATTCTCTTCCCAGCTTTCATCTCCTGGCCCCTAGACTATGCCAAAAGCAGTTTGGGGAATGTTATGTACCTTGTCTCATAATTCTGAATTTTGTGGATTGTGGTATTTTATGTAAAGGTAGACTCTCTTTTTAGTCCTTTTTTTCTAACAAAAGCCACCAAATTCTTGCCCTTCTCTTTGCCAGTGATTACTAATCTACATTTTGATCCCTGTCCTTGGAGTCAAATTCTCATAGCTTTAACTGCCCACAGCAGCATTCACAGTTAGCTGCTCTACCAGTACTTTTTATGTGCACATGCTTTATATGCTTTACAAAACCAATTCATGATTGTAGCCTCTCTTTACCTGTCCATGTCTATTACTAATAGCCTATATTTTCACACCTTTTTATAGTGTAAGATGTATTTTTGTGTGCTCTCACTTTACTTCTATAACATAGTTGTGAGACTGCTGTTATTGCTATTTCCATTTTACAAATGAAGAAACTGAGCCTCAAAGAGGTGAAGTAACACAGTGGGATATGGCAGATCTAGGACTCAAATCTAGGTGTCACACAGGAGAATTGGACCTCAGTACCCCAGACCCTCATTATCCCACATAGTCAACCAGTCACCAAGGGATGGACAGTGAGGCCTAGCACGGAGCCACAGAAGTCAACCACTAATCAGCTTTTCTGTTAACTCATTTTCAGCAATATCTCACAGGTTGGCCCTTTTTAAAATTTCCACAGCCATCACTAGACAGCTCTTAGGCTTTGGCAACATCAGCATCACTGAGAGTCTGTTAAAACAGATTGCAAATGCTGGCAAAGATACAAGGAAAAGGAACTCTTCTACACCCATTGGTGGGAATGTAAATTAGTATAGTCATTTTGGAATTCAGTATAGAGGCTCCTAAAAAACTAAAAATAGAGCTGCCCTTTGGTCCAGCTTTACCACTTCTCAGTATAGTCTTGAAAGAAATAAAGTCAGCACACTATAGTTACCTGCATGCCCACGTTTATTGATGAGCAATTCACAGTATCTAAACTATGGAAACAGCCTAGGTGCCAGTTGGCAGATGGATGAATAAAGAAAGTGTGGTATATATACATAATGGAGTATTATTCCGCCATAAAGAAGAACAAAAATCATGTTATTTGCAGACAAATGGATGGTTCTAGAGACTATTAAGTAAAAGTCAGATTATTAAGTAAAATAACCCAGACTCAGAAAGTAAAATGTTCCATTTTTTTCATATGAGGACTGAGGGAGGGCCAGAGACAGACAGAGAGACAGAGACAAAGACAAACAGAGCTTGAAAGTAGAAGGAAGAATATTAGAGAAAAGGGAAAGGGATCAGGGGAGGGGGAGGAAAGGGGAAAAGGCTAATGTAGGAAATGATCAAAGTGTGTTTATGTGCACGCACAGATATACAAAAATGGAAACCCTCATCAGTATAACTAATATGCGCTAATCAAAAATTACTAACTTTTAAAGTCAACTAAAGCATATAACTTAAAGCACGTAAAGCTGGAGGGCTGATTTGGGTTTTTGCTCAGTGTCAACCTCAGCCCCATTCACTCCAGGTGATGTAGACAGCTAGGGCATGGCAATGGGACTGGAGGACTAGGCACAACCTGCCAGTTGAAGAGAGCAGCAGCTCCCTGACATGAGACCAAGCTGAATGCTGTACCTGGTACCAATTTTCTTAACCAGAGACTCACTGAACCTGGCGCTTGACATCAATCTCCTGACACGAGAACAAGTCAACCCTAGCACTGGATATCAATTTTCTGACAAAAGCCCAAGTGGGACTGCCTGAATCAACTATCAAAGGAGACATGAAAAGACAGCAGCTATTGACTTTGTGGCCACTGCCTTCTTGTTCTTGCAGTGGTCCATCTGCTTGCAGCATGCATCTTCTCTTTTTCCTTCAAAACACCCTTTTCTCCTTGAGCACTTATTTTACACTTTTTTCCTTTTCTTCTTTTTATCTCTGCCCTAAAATAAACAGTAAGCTTTTGATCATCCCAGTCTATTCATTGAACAGAACAATAAGAACTTGGAAATCATGGTTGGTCCATATGCCACCCCATAACACAGCCTCTTTCCATCTTCCCATGCTTGGCTCACGGTAGCTAGGCTGCACCCCCAAAGCATCTGACTCAGTATATTGGGGCTGTGGCCTGAGAATCTGCATTCCTAGTTTGTTGATGCCACTGGTTCTGAGAACTGCTGACTGGGACAAGTTCTTCCCTGCCTGTGCCTGGCTCTGCCTGTTGGGCTGTGGTTCCTCGTAGGCTCTACTCTTGCACTGGACTCTTGGCTTTCTGTCCAGTTGGGCTGTGAATCTGAGCCCTGAGTCTCCTTCCCCTTTGTGTTCTTTCCGCCTCTTGAGTTACCCCACATAGGCTAGCGGGTAAGGATCCCCAGTCTGACCTGACCTTCATCCTGAGTTCAAATCTTTGTCTTTACAGTAACTAACACTCTGACCTTGGACAAGTCACTCAGGCTCTCCAAGGTCAGCTGTCACCTTTGTAAAGTAAGATGCTAAAAAATGCCTAATGTGTGGAACTTGTGTGAGAATTAAGTGAAGTAATATTTGGGAAGGGCTTAGCACAACCAAATCAACCATGGACGTTCAGTAAACACTTGCTATTTTTATTTCCTATTCTGTCCCTTGACTCGGGCATGTGTCTTTCCTTTATGCCTTCACTCATAAATTCTCTAGAGCCTAGTGATGGCGAACCTTTTAGAGCTTTCAGTGATAACAGACATCTGACTGTGGCACGTACGCTGTAGGTTCACCACCACTGGCCTATAGTGTTTTAATCATGCCCGTTTTGCCTGCCACTCAGCATGCCAACATTAAAGTGACTTTGAAAAACAAGTTTATTCATGAGGAGACAGGAGACCAACTCTGCCTGCCCAAGCATAGGTTTTAGGCACATTCATGAGGTAACAAATCAGAATGATTTAAGGGGAGGGGAAAATGATGGGTGCCGGAATAATCAATGTTCCATGTAGGCAAAATCAGACTTTGGGGCTCTTCATAGGATGTCTGTTCAGAAAACAGTAGAGTTATCATTTTCTGAGGAAGTCACCCCTCCATATCACCCACTGGACATGTGTACAGGCCCAAGTAAAGAATCACTGATTGAAACAGAAGCTGCCTTCAAGCCCCTGAAAAGAAACCATGGCAACCATTACTGTCAAAATCCACACAGCAGAGGTGTTATCTACAGACAAGCTAGTGGGAGACT